TTGCAATATAACATAAGTCTATGTGAAGAGGCTATAACCGCTAGCTAACGGCTTGCATTTATATAAGCGCGTGCATATTTTTTTTCAGTCATTATAGACAAGTAACTCCAGCACGGCTGTTTCCTGTCAATTGTGATTATCTTTGAATTGCTTGAAGATTGCTTTTCTTAAAAATGACAATTTGTTTTCTTGCATTATTATGTAAAAGATTTCCTCACGTGAAGTTAGTCAAAACAGACTGGAACACTTTTCCCTCCGAATCAGTAATCAACAGTGTGGTTATTTTCATTTATTCGCAGGTGGCAATTATTGTTCCATTTAGAGATAGATTTTATCAACTGCCAATTTTCCTGAGAAACATCGTACCATTTCTAAAACGACAGAAACTTGAGTTTGGAATCTACGTTATCGAGCAGGTGAGATGCATTTGTGTATTTTTAGAAATGTATTCATCCACCTCGATCCCACGTGTACGGCATTACTAGAATCCTCTGTGTCGATTACGTGTAAGCGACCCCTGTTTCATCTTAAAGTGACTTGGGCCAGCCATTCAAACTTGCTATTTGTTTCATTGTTAGCCATATTTGACAAAGCAAGATGCTTCAGTTCTCTCACTGTTCCCGTGCAGTACATCTTCACTCAATGTTGTTGTTATTGTGGTTCATCTTCGTTTCTCGCTTCTCCTGGTTGTTGGCTTCTTCCCTAAACCTCACACATCCAGGTTACGGTACCTAAGACACGATAAATGGAGGGAAAATCACAACCTGACGTTGTGATTCATCTCTGCCAAAAATCCATCCTCGGTTACCACCAGTAACGACACACACAACCATGACTGTCAACCTGTTTTAGCGGGTCAATAAATCTTTGAAAGGTATGCAAGTATTGAAGTCAGATACATGAAACGAGTAGGGTAGGTGGTTTTGCCATCTTACCTGCAGGTTTACAAGCAGTTTAATGGATATTCTCGAAGAATACGTGGGTAAGTGGACCAAAATGTCGAGCGCTCATGCACAGTTCGAGTGTAAAAAAAGTTATAGGGCATTATGCATCCATATCAAGAACAGATAGGTTTTACACCTGCTCAAAGTATCTTTTAAAAAAAAGCCGGCTGACGTAAGATATCAGTTAAATGGTCAGCAGAATGAGAAGTACACGTATAACTGAATAGACTCAAGAAAGACAGGTTGATCCTGCTTTTTTGCATGATATTTTCGGACCATTCCTAAGCATTCGACTTAGTTATCGATTCTATTGATTACTGGCATGAACATACTGGTTTTGGATGAAGGCTTTTTTACAACAGTTATTTCTATACACGTGAACAACTATCGCCGTTCACCCGTAGCAAAATTTCCAGCCTGCTTCCCGAGTTATAGGGCGAAAAGGACAGGGCTGTTCACAGTGTGTTAAAAGGGGTTGCCTGAGTGTCGATTCCCATAAGTATAGCTATCCAGGTCGTAGGTCCAGGGGGAAAAATGTCCAAATATTTGTCAATCGTAAAAGAATCCCCATTTCCCTTTTAGTTCAATAAAAAAAGGGCAACATGTCTAGGCTGACTCTCCCTGTCCCGCAGCGGATGCGTCACTGCTTCCCTCGATCCCATGATGCGGTCTCCTTCAAAACGGACACCAATTACATTATGGTGCATTATAGAAACCTCTTATTGGAAACTGACTTAGTTCAGTTAATGTAAGATTGAAAGAACTTCTTGAACTAGAATATCTAGGCTACCAATTCTAGAACGAGAACACGCCGTGCTTGCACTTTTCGTTGAAGTCAATATCTAAGTTAAACATTACATCTTGGGTATAGTTCTAGTCTCCACTTCAAGTGCATGACTTGTATCTCTCCAAAAGCTAAACCTAACGAAAAAGGTTGACGCCGGGAACTATGGAGAGTTATCTGTGACACACCTGTACGTCAAATTTGTTTTGATTAATTTGATGTGTGCAGATACGGTTTGGGTGGTATCGATTCACAGAGTAACATAAGTTCGTGAGTGAAGTTACGCCCCACTTAACTCTCGTTGCATCACCGGTGACCTAGTTGCCATTGCATACCCTTTGCATCTATGATGGACACTGTGCTCGGTCTTGCTATCAGCTCGATCTCACGGGGATAAAAAGGTTACATGCATCTCACGTTCTCAGAATCAATTCCTGTAAAGACTGGTTCCTAAACAGTGGAATTTTGTTTCTTTATATGCATGGTCATCCATCTGAATTCGGTCAAGTTGGCCCAATCCAAAACATACAATGATTTTCTTCAGTTCTCACTCTTTCCACACAATCTTGTTCATGTTACAGTGCGCTACTTTAAAATAGAAATACATACTGTGAAAGCCCGGAGTGCTGTCAATTATGTATTTTCAAAAAGTGAAATATATTTCTTCGAAGTTCGTTTGTACGCTCGCAAGTTCGTTTGTTCAAGATATATATTCTTCAGTTCGTTCCCGTAAAATTATAAATAGAAACGTAATTTCTATTTCTGGAAACAAGTCGTTTTTACGAGAAATATTTTTCCAAGTTCGTTTTTATGAGTTATATTTTTTGAATTTTGTTTTTGTGAGAAATGAATCCAAACATGACAATGCATATCTCCTGAAAATTAACTTCGAAAAAATACATCTCCAAAATACAAACTTCATCAATAGTATCTAGTAAAAACGATTTGTTTCCAAAAATGGAAACAATGTTTCTACATATAGATCTCATTAGAGAATGTATGCCTCAAACAAACGAACTTTGGAAAAATACATCTCGTACAAACTAAGGCCGTGTCCGAAACGGGCTTCAAGAGCTATGGCTAGGTCTATTGTCTGCACGTCTCCACGCATTTCCAATGGAGCGAAGACCTAGACGTAGCTCTAGACAACAGTTTCGGATGCAGCCTAAGTCGAAAAAAAATGTATATCCCAAAACGGACTTCGAAGACATATACTTCACTTTTTGAAAATATATACGGGATGTTACTACAAGCCTTTCGTAATAGACCTATCAATAAATGTACCGAATTAAATTCCAGGCCAATGGGTTGGATTTTAACCGTGCCATGTTGATGAATGTTGGCTTCCAACAAGCCCTCAATTTCAGTCGTTGGGATTGCTTCATCTTCCATGACGTGGATCACCTCCCTCTGAATAACGCCAATTATTATGGATGTAGTCACATGCCCAGACATTTCATCTCCGGCGCTGACAGATGGAATTACAAGTAAGTGCGTTTTTTTTTCTCAAGTGTATCTAACTGGGGTACGGGTAAGTGACAAGGCGCAGAACTTCTCGGAAGAGAGAGCGACATTGTTGAATCTTAATCGGAACACCAGGGCCTAGAAATAGACAAATCCAGATGATGCATTCCAAAGTATAGTGGGGTCTGGATGTGTCTTACGAAAAGACGGAAATGCTCTAGGTAACATCATATTTGAGGTTCATTCGACCGCTAAATTCGTGACGAGTTTCTGTACAATTGGAAACCATGCGGCAAATTTTAACCAAATACATGCACAGTTGATGTAAAACGATTAAAATCCAATAATACAATTTTGAAAAATGGAACTTTTCTACGAAATGATTCCTTTTGTAGGTGCCAGGCAAAATATAAAAAAATACTTTAAAATGAATACCGTTTTAGTTACTAAGAATCGATGCAGCGTTCCATAGATCCCTACAGCGAGATACCGTATACATCCCTTTCAATGTAATGAAAATTGAATTCCGAAACAAACTGAGCTTTATGAAGTCACATCAGTTGCATTGTCTCCTTTTCAGGCTTCAGTATAGCTTTTTCTTTGGCGCAGTCACTGGCTTCACTCGCTCCCAGATACAGAAGTTCAACGGGTTCCCCAACGCCTACTGGGGATGGGGAGGCGAGGATGACGACATCTTGATTCGGATCCAAGCCCACGGGTTCTTCAAGACCCGACCCTGGGGAGTAACAGGATTCTATAACGTCATCGCTGAACACCACAAGAGTGCTCCAAAGAACAAAAAGAGGTAGTTTTGAGAGGGGTTGAAATTACTTGCATATATATATTTTAGTATTAGTGTTTTTAGTATTAGTATTTTTAAAGGTGTTTTTGTCCTAATTACACCCAAAATTTGATGAACCTGAGAATCTGAGAACCCTGAACTGTACTGGAATTAAGTTATGCACCTTTACCTTCAGTGGACGATTGTACGCCTTCTCGTTTATCAAGATGAAAAAAAATGCATTTTGCTGGTAGTGTAAATTCACCAGCTCCTCAAAATCGTTTAAAGAAACGCAAAGGACTGTGGTTGACTATATTACCATACTGTGTGGCAGTACAGTGACTATGAATGCATGCTGAAAACCAGCAGCTTGGGAACCAATCGTCGCCTAAGCCTGTAGTTGTCGAGACCTTGCCTGTAAAAGCCTGTTTGTTTCACACGGATTTGGATCTCGCTGGTTCGTTCCATCCATTGGGCGGGTTCTGGTGTCAGTGAACCAGCGACGGATCACTGATCTCAAATAATGGTCCCGATCAGTGATCACATCGCTGGTTCGCTCCATCCATTAAGCGGGTTTCGGTGTCAGTGAACCAACGACAGATTCGGCCACCTGACTGAACCTCTGTATCAAACACACAGGCCCTAGAGACAAAATAAATATCGTGCCTGAAATCATCAGTGCCTAATTTTGGAATAATATATCAAAAGCTGTTGGTAACAGCTTGTTCTACACGGATGTTTATCTAAGTGCGCTTGTCTTTGTTTCAGAGTTTGCCTTCTGGATTACGCGCATGAGAGACTAGAGAGCGACGGACTCTCTAATTTGGTCTACCCGCCGGCACGGGTGACCCTAACCCCCCTCTACACCAACATCTCAGTGAATATCACAAAACTCGCCTTGAATCCCACCTGGACCGTGTGCACGCGGGATTATAAGAGAGCCAAGAAGGACGAGTTGGTAAACTGGAAGATGAACTGATGGGAACGAGCTGGAAGGACGCCACATCCTCACGGCTGGCGCTATCTGACGCCCTCTGCTATGTCGTTCAGACCAACCAACAGGCCAAGTATGTGTTTTCCCGGTAAATTTCATGGCAAAAATCGTTCAGTTTAGCGCGAGCAAGTCTGGTCTGAGCCAATTTGGTTCACCAGGCCGGTATTATCTCTGGTTTCCTTGGCATGAAACGACTGAGATCATTTCTATTCCTCCTGGAGGGGATGCCAGTCCATCACAGGTTGCTTCCCAGCTAACGCTGGTACCCATTTATACTCCTGGGTGGAGAGAAGCAAGTAGGGGTGAAGTGGCTTGCCAAGGGCCACAACATACTGCTAGCAGCTGGATTCGAACCTCCAACCCTACGATTGGAAGCCACAAACCTTAACCACTTTTCCATGCCCCCTAAAAATCGTTCAGTTCAGCGCGTGGCTCATTCAAATTCGTTTTCAATTGACATGCTCCTTTACATTAGCTTTCGAAAATCAAAGTATCCTTGTTTCATTCATTCAGCTTTGTCAGCAAAATTAGGAAAATGATGATCAAGAACAAAATTTCTTTATTTTCTACACGCTTCCATTCAACTTCGTTTCTTTTTCACAGAATGCTCCCTGCTTTGTGTTTTCACATATCAACGTGGAAAGAAAAAAAATGAATAAAGCACTGAAACTGACATTTTTTTTTCATGTAAAAACCAATCTGTAGCCTTTGGTTATCTTTGCCACACGCTTGATTTGCATTTGCATTGAAGTGAATTACCCAGCAAAGAAAAACCAAATATGTATAAATGCACAGGGAAAAAACAGATTCGTTTTTTAGGTTCTGCCTAAAGGAATTGTACTGGAAAGAAGGACGCACTACTCAAACATACTTGTCCAAATTGAACCCTTAAAGTTTGAAATTGATTGACTATGACCGACGACAAAAAAACAATCTTTGACTGCGTTAACTCATAAACGTCGGGGGATATTTCATTACGACTGTTGAAAATAAAGATTTGATTACCTGTATAACGAAATGGAATGAATAAAACGCGCATTTGTTTGCCCGAAAACGAAAATGAATAAAATTGTGAAAATAGATACAGTATGAAGAAGATTAAAAAAAAAGAGTGCGTATGAAAATTGAAAAGGCCTCGAGGACAATGAATGCTTTTTGTGCTGAAATTGGTCGGGAAACCTGTATCATCAAGGGAAACCTGTATAGTCAAAGGAAACGAGGGCGCAACTGTACCGCTCTGTGGATGTAATTAAAATAGAAGTGATCGTGTCTGTTTCTTTGATGTCAGTCGTCCTCTTGTAAAACTTCGAGAAGAACAAATCAAATGTATCAGAAGGGACGGAGACAACTCAAGATAACAAATATCAAAGAAAAGGTTTCTGCGCCGCTGATAACTTTAGCCAATTTCTTTCAGTTCACTTTGCTTGCATGGCAACTCGAAACATCTTGCAATTTTAACCTCAATTTTATAAAGCACCACACCTCTTCACACCTTCAATGTTGACTTGAAGGCCTTGAATAAAGTCTGTACGTGTGAATTTTGTGGCATCAGTGAAAGTAAGCCTTGGTCTGCATTTGTAATTACTCTTTCATAATGTAAACTGTTATCTGATATTTTCTTCTGCTCAATAATCTTCTCTCGTGCTTTATGATGTGGAGATGTCTTGAAAGACTGGCTCATTTTATCAAGTTAGAATATTTTTATGTATTTCTCTGAAGCCACTGTGTACGTGTAGCTGTTCCTCGGTGCGTTGTTGTGTAAACCTGTACAGCTTATACATTTCAGATGCAATAAAGACATAGAGCTTTTGAAAAGGTGAAATAAATGTGTTTAAAGACCATAAAAGTGTTACAACTAAATCAGTTTTTTCCATCAACAGGAAGACCTACTTCAGGCCTGTTTTATTTCACATGGATATCTGAATATTGATCAGTGATCCATTGTAGATGGTTCACAGAACATTTTAGGTCTCTGAGTCTACGTATCTATGTTTCCCAATATAACACGAAGACCCTGTTTTTGTAGGGTCGCAAGGACATTTTTTATAAAGGTGTGCGACTGTAATCGTTTACTGTTTTGAAGCAAAAATATCGGCATAGCTTGGCAGCCCCCAAATGCACGGACATATATTCAAAATATCAGCATACACGTACAATCATACATGTATGTTTACTCACTTGAGTTTTCCGACCGATATTTCTTCGAGTAATCCCCAACTTACGTCTTGACATTTACCGTCGGGTCTTGGCAAGCTGAACTATGTAATTAATTCACGTTGCATGCATATTAATAAGCTCTCCTAGTCGTGAGAATCATAAGTACATGTATATCGATGTACCTGAATACAGCCTTTACGCAATTTCAGATGTTGTCTCCATCCACGGGGACCCGTTTGGACTCGAAATTCTTTAAAGGTCAAACCATTTTTATCCGCTGTCGTAATTGGAAAAATGTCCCGTAACATTCATATTTCGCATTCCTTTGTTTCCTCGCACACGGACGAGCGCCTACAGAGTTTAACGAAATCCGTTTTGCTGATTGAATACATGTACTTTGACCAGAAAGGAACCCACATTCAACACAAAAAGATATGTTATCTGAAAATAATCCTGCAGTCTGTTATGTATTCTCGACTGTTCCAACTCAACTAATGCAAGTGCAGTATTGGTGACAATTATCTTTTTCTGTGAAAACCACCACTCTTCCCGTTCTTCTCAATTGTTTTTAAATATGGCCTGACCAACACCAGGAGACCCTGATATCACCGACAACTGTGGTACCAGTTGGTGCATTTTCATTAATCGTCGGAGCATAATGTTCTCTATATGCGTCATGCCCAAACCCTATTTCCTTATCACGCCTGTTTCATGTCACCTCCAGTGTACGTCATCCAAGGTACGTCGCGCTTGCTTCGGTGCTTAGGTGATTAGATGTGTATGGATTTTTCTGCACATCAACTCAAGTATGTTTGAGACAAAAAGTACGGGAGATCTATGATAAAATGAAGTCTAGCAGAACGATCTTCGTCTTTCTAAACAACAAAGGAAACGTTCTGCCCCAATGAAGAACGGGAATATAAGACTTAATTTTACATGACACACCTTTAAGGAAAGGGTGCATGCTGAATATTTAACTGATGAACTTGCAGAGTTCTTATAACTCGTTTCTTGTTACTTAATATCTTTATTTCATGTCGTTAATTTCCCCCAACGACACGTATGTGCTAACAACGGAGCAACAACATTCAGTTCCGGAACGTGTACCGACTTTTAAATCACTTTCCTGGCCCTAAGAGGCCCTTGTAGTTTGTTTTAGTTGAAGCCATGTCTTCATAATGAAGGACTGTGTTTTTTAGTAAATGTGACGGACCTTAATTGCTGAAAGTTAATCTGCAATATTCGTAGTCTATAAATAAACGACGCGTTGGTAGACGACGTAATCAAACAATCAAACTATGGCCGAAAAAAATACTCTCTCGTGTAAACATACACACTGTCGATTGATTGATTTAAGGCAAACAACGGCACATCGATCAAATAAACGATTCCCCGTGGTCTACATCCACAGTTCACCTAGATACACGGTACGCGCGATGTGCGTTCCGTGGTGACACCGGGAACGATCCAACTTCAAATCTCAGTGAATGATAGGCGCCAACATTAAGAGATCCAGTTGAGACTTCACTGTGGAAATTGGAGTAAGATCGAAACATCTCTGTTAACTCAGGCCATTAGTAGGGGACAGAGTTATGTAGCTTAATTTGATGTCAGCGGCATATTATGATCAAAACAAGACTCGTTATTTTCTTTTGGTTTTGGTAAGGTTCATTAATTTACAGCAGGGTCTTAATGAAGTATATTTCAAATGAAGATCTACAACGAATCATGTTCAAAAAGGTGTTCCCGCTCTAACGGTCTTGTGTTTTTCAGGATAACTTCAAGGTGAATTTCTCTGCATATCACATTTATGCATTGAAATCACCCCCTTTACGAATTTTAACTAATACATTCTTATGAAAATAGGGCCTATGGTGTCCAACGTTGACCGGTTTTGCTCAGTTAAGTTCTGTGCTGCCTTATTCGCCTTTGTGTCAATTATTTCTTTGGGACCCCAGCTACTGGCAACTGGGTACTTTCACCTAATTTTATTTTTAATGGTGACATGATGTAGAGAGATGATTTTTCCCAGCTGTCGGCCAAACAGAAGATACTATTTGGAAATCTGGCAGGTTTAAATATGACAGGAAGACGCAAAGGAATTGGTAATTTGACGCGTAGAGGACGACTTCTCGTTTCCCCACGATAGCTCGCAGATATTGGTAAATTGTGAACGGTCACGCGCTTTTTGAAAACCAAACCCATCTGTAAGGTAGAAAATTATTTCTCTTTTACTGAGGGCACACGTTTGGGTTTTCGATGGAAACTCCAAATTTGCACAAAATGCATCGTCTCCGTCTTCTTCCCGACGTGGCAAATCGGGCCCTATTTTACGAAATGAACTGTGAACTGACAGGTTTATAATCAGTCTACTAATGAACAATGTCTTGCAAGACTTTATTTATTAATATTTCGTAGCAATAAACAGCTTTAGCTTGGCAGTTCCTCTGTCAACGCCATATGGCACAAAACGTTTGCGCTGAAGGCCTAGACAATTAATGGCCAAGCCGTTAGCATTGCCGTTTTGGGCGCCAAAGCTGCCATCACAGCTTGCCATTTACACCTCCATCACCGTCGATGCGCACATGCAAAGTGAGTAATGCTTCTTGCAAGCACTGCTCCCGCATCCTCACGGGAGATTCGTGCGAAAATCTGTAGGCAATTGAAGGCGGTTGACAGAAACAACTCATGCTTAGAAATTAATATATATATATATATATACAAGAACACCTATTGCGTATGTCGGCTTGGCGTCGAATTGACGCCAACTCCTGGTTGTTGAACAACGCACACTTTCAGGAAAAACCTAACCTCTGTCTCCCTATACCTCTTAATTGATTGGTACAAGTTGTAAAGCGTTGTGTTCGAATTACCCCGTCGCACCGCACAAGATTCCGGATAATTCGATCTTCCTTCGGGAAGTATATTACAGTGTACATGTACGTGTATGCATTGAGATCACAAGGCACAAGAAACACGCATACTACCTCAAGGCTGCATTAAGCTGTATTGAATGTGAATGAACTATTCGAGTTATTAAAGTGAAATAAGTAAATTTCAGTCTTAAGGTCAGTACAAAGTTTTCTTTAATATTTGGTCTAGTTTATAGCCTTGAATTTGTGTTCGACTAACTGCCACAATGCATGTCAGGAATATTGGCTTAGAAATGCCGTATTTTGGAAAGTATTGATAGAAGTAGAACACGAAACTTTTCGTGATGTTAGAAGTCCAGCTTCAAAGAAACATGGAATAGTTCATTTTTGTTTCGGAAGGGAAGAGGCTCACTCTTCTGTTGCCATCACGTGACCGGAAAGTTCTAGTTGTAGTTCCCAAGCACTGAGTTTGGGATAGGACAGGGTACCAGGCAGGCATATAGGATAGGTGATGCATCAGCTTGAGTATGACATGGGTCGAGCATCTACAACATCATTTTTCGACATGTTACGGGAATGGACCTGATTCTCTGCCACTACGGTCCCTTTCAGGCACAGCAAGTGCCTGAGGAAGGCCACATAGCCCCGTCGAAACGTCGGGTTGGTGGCGGCATAAATCACGCAGTTGACGCTGCTATTGGCGTGGCAAAGGTTGACGAACAACACATACAGGGTTCTGTTCCATGTGTTCTGGGTATCAAAGAGAACGTACACCGTGTACGGGGCCCACATGATCAAGAACACAACCCACAAAGTCATGACGGTCCGGAGTAGCGCCATGTCTCGTCTTTTTATCCTACGCCGCCCCTGGCCTAGAGTCGCGAACTCGGTGGCACCTTGGCTCAGACGCCGAAGGGTCCTCCTGCTCGCCCGGACGAATAGTAGTATTCGAATGTAGCAGTAGGTGACGATGGCGATGGGGGTGCCAACACCGACCGACACCAGAAAAATCGTGTAGCTGAGAGATGCAGTGTAGTTGAAGGTACAGAACATGACCTTAGGGTCGTAGGCGTGGCCTCCCCAGCCAAGCAGGGCGGGTAAATCCATCAAGAAACAACCCACCCACAGTCCAGCCAACATGGCAGCCACTCTGCTGCGTGTGAAGATGCGATGGTACCTGCAAAAAACACGCAGAAAGAAATACATATGAATGATGTATGCGTGATGCGGGTACAAACGTTAGCAAACCATGACGTGAAAACTGATTATTAATTAAGCCATTAAAAATTCTCTAACCATAAGAACCATGGCCAAGTATAACTTATGAACGAGCGGCATCATATTGCCTTGAAGGAATTTACCTTGGGAAAATTCAAGAAAAAATTGAAGAAATGAACAGTTGCAACTGTGTAAGGCTTGCTCAAGCACACAAGCGAGCGATAAGTGACAGCAACAAAATATGACAGCTACCATCTACTGGACTACAAACTAACAGTCGAGGGATATGTATCTGTTCATCATCCTAGATGCCAGTCGCAAAAAAAAATGTTAAATTAAAGACCAATTGAAGTGGATATTGTAATGCTTGGCTCCCTGAAATAATTAGTTTCGCGGAACCACTCGGGCTCATAATGACCATAAATTGTCCATTGCCACGTACAAATTACGTTATTATCCGAACCAAAATCGCTTTCCGTTTTAGCATGCATGTATCGCAATCACCTGACCTCATTAGATACCCATTTTGACCTCAGATATCTGGAACTGCATCCGCACCTTATGACTATGCCGGTATGATGGGCGCTGGAAACAATATTAGGAACATACCACACATTCAGAGAAGTAACGGTACCAGGAAAGGGCAATATGGAAAAGTAGACTTTTGCTGCTGTCTCTGTCAGCCATAAAAAAAAAACTGTTCTAGGCTTCTAGCTATGTTGGAAACGAAAATTTTTTGAATTGCGACTTTTAAAGATGGATGTCTCCAGACCTCATAATTATTAATGTGGAAGACGTCCAAGGATTGACCGACTGCTCCTTTTCATGAACACAACATGACTCATTGATAAAAAAAAACACGAATCAAAAACAAAAGAAAAAAGAAAACAAAAGATTGGAGCATTAAATTTGACCCAAATCCGGGAAAACTGTGGCGGAAAATTCAAGCCTTTACTTTGATAACACGCTCTGCTCTTAACAAATTTAAAAAATGTGCTCAGAATTAACTACGAAAGGGTCCAAGTCGTTGAAACATGACAACCGATGGAACATGACACTACTTACCGTATGCACAAAGTAATTTACAATCCTAGCTTTATATCAGCATCATTTTACCTAAATACTACCTCCTTTAATTTTGATAGGAATTACCAAACGCTTTTTATTTCCAATTTACACCCAACTGTCCTTCAGCGGCACTTACAATACACCTTGTACAGCCCAAGGTTTTCTCACAGAAAACTTCAGATGCATGTAATGCTATGGAGTACCGAAGTGAATACGTCACACGCTCTATTATTGTGTAAAAGGCATTAGCGCGAGAACCAGCGCGTGAACCAACACGCGCGCGTACTCCATTCGTTTGCACTGCACTTTCTGGTTCACAGTGACGTCACACTTCGGTACTCTATACGGACGGACTTCAACGTGCACTGGAACAGCTATGTACATGTACACTTCTTTCATGTACACATATAACATTATGCAGGAAATTGCCACTATCAACAACTGCAAACAGGGTTTATTTTTGACCGATGTTATAGTCCCCATTTGATCCTTTACTTCGAGATTCTGTAGTCTCAGTCATCTTTATCGCATGACTATCTGAAGTATCATTCTTGTTGAAAGTGCACTGTGTGTTGCTTATTGGGACTAAAATGCACCACAACTAGGCTGGATGTTGAACTTCAATCGCTCAACAAACTTCAACGGCAATATTATTCTCGAGAATGAATAAGAATACCAATTAACTTACGCTGAATTATGGCATATACAGACATATCTGTTGATGCTGATGGCTGTTATGCTCCACAGTGAACAGGTACAACTCGTGGTACACAGGAAGCCGAAGAAATCGCAGAGTGCCGGGCGATTCCTGAAGGTGGCGCCAAGCTTGAGCAGTGCATCCACGGTGGCGAACTGGATCAGGGCAGACACGCACAGGTCGGCCACGGACAGGTTGACGATAAAGGCGTTGTGGAGTCGCCGCAGTGGTTTGTGGACCAGCACTGAGCCGATGACCAGCAGGTTGCCCAAGGTGCCGGTCAGGCCCAGCCCCAAAGAGATGCACAGGAACCAAGTGTTGGTGGCGGTGTCATTGACGTACGGGTTCCAGATCGTGGGAGCATAGATGACTGTTCGTGTCCATGATGGCGTCGGCGACATTGACGGAGACATCGACGGCGACTGTGACTGGAATGGTTCTCCGGTGGGGCCATTCGTCGCCATGACCCAGGCACTTTCAGGCGGAGTCTCTCGAAAATGTCACATGCAGCGAGAGACTTAAGAGAATATTTCACACGAAGTGTTCATCCCTCTTCGGACCGCAAGCTATATTTATGATCGAAACGGCACCAGCAATTGATGAGTTCAGGAATTTCCTGCGATAGGCACGGCGCACAACAGTCCCCTGTAAAATTCCCGAAAGCAATTTCACCGACGCAAATGAGAACCCTGAGCGTCAACTGTCATGTTCGTTCATCCATGCCAGCACAAGAAGTCTGAAACACTGAATGGCTGCAGTTGTCTGCCTGTCTAATGGTTTCAGTCAGTTTTCATCGAGACGCGGCCAAGGGACGAGTTCTTTGGCAGACAACCATCGCCGACGGCTGCAGACGACAAAATGATACAACACTGGCGTCACTGAACATGCAACAACAGAGCCAGGCACTTTTAAAACTTAGTTTCCTTCCAACCCTGATGTCACCTGTTACCAGGGCAACGCTATCCAGCAACAATGGGAATTTCGAGATAGTGGAGGCCTTTTGTTTTAAAAACTCCAGGACAATGCGTCCCCTTGGTAACTCGACTACGCGGCTGTATACGCAAAATGTCTAATTTGGTCTGCAACGAGCACGGTTGTGTGTGTAGGTGTGTTTGCATAATTTACATGCAGGTCACGTGTGGTAATATTTATTATGGATAAGCTTCTTCCGCTAATAGGACCGGCGTGATGTCATTTGTATATTGTTACTGCATATAGTAAAGCTGTCATCTTGTCCTGTTTTTAAACATGCGCATAACTCATGTTAACTGAGGCTAATTGGCCCACGTATTTCACAGAAAATATATCCCACCTTACTGACAACCTGATGGGCATTGTAGGCCTATGATTTTTTTGTTTGGAGATATTTCGCCCGGGTTAATTACACATGTGGTGAATATGACACCTATAATATGCAGATTTTCGTCGTCAAATTTTTTAGTCAACCTCTATAATTTCATTCTATTATTTCTTGAAGTACGTTAAGGTATCAAGGTTACCATTTACACACCCCCACTTAAAAAAAATACATTTCAGGACGAAATAGAATGCTTTATTTTGCTCGGACGATAATGAATGACACAAAAGTTAATGATGCGGAATTAATGGTGTTGAAATTCCGGTTACTCTTGTTCTTTTCTGCCGAATACAAGCGCAATAACTAATGCACACAGTTACTTGGATTCGCCACAAAGCAGTCCGACTGAACGCCAAGTGTGACGTAGGCACATTAATTTTGTACAGGGGCGTAATTCCTAAGGGGTGGGGCGCATAATTTCCCCCTTCTTGATCGGGGGTGGGTCATTAGATCATCCCCCACAGTTTCATGGCAAGAAAAAAACCGGATATTGAGATATTTTTCGAAATTCCACACAAACAAAATGTATTTAATTGTATTGAAAAAGGAAAAGGTATAAACGCTTTAAAAACGCCGTTTTGGTGTCAGCTTAAAGGTGTAACGTGATATCTCTTTGGTGGTCATAAGATGTACATCTGTATTATGAGCAGCGCCCCCAGTGTCATCTGGTGTCCACTGACCCCCTCCCCCACACACACACTTTTCGAATTTCCACGGCCAGGCTATTTGCTGATGTCATCCCCCATCCCCGCAGACAACGGCACAATAATACGCCACTGATTTTGTTGCATTCAACTTCTGTGAAATTGCAGGAAGAGCTGTCGGTTAGAGCTGGTGGCTCACAGCGTGTTTATTTATTACTTTACAAAGAAGGCTTGGGTACTTGCCATCTGCGTGTATCGTATTGGGATGTATTTTTATGTCAACAAGAACTGAAGTTAGTTGTAGAGGTTTGCGCGGTTTTACCATGCACGGATATCGGTTTCTGTGAGTATGAGTGGTTCTGATATGAAGGTCAACGCTTCGGACTGCGAGTCCGAAACGTTGAGAACCCTTCGGTTCTTTTCAGAACCAGTCATATTCATAAACGACATAATCCTTGCATAGTGCTACCGCAAACCTCTACAACTAAATTGCTACCTTCACCATGACAAATTTCAAAGCTCAAGAATCAAAATATGAAAACACTGTAACTGTACACCAGTGGCGTGAATCTGTCCCAGAAATACATAGCCGCGATGGAGGATGGGGAATAATGGGGGGGTGACTTACCCGGCCACAGAAATTAAAAAAAAAGGGGGGGTGACACAATTATGACAGTAGGGGGCGATGTTTATGATACAGATGTAAATATTGTAGTATGCAGTGGCGTAGCGACTCCTACACCCCCGGTCGCTACGCCCCTAGACTACATGTAATATGTAGGGCCTACTGGAATCCTGCAGAAACTTAGATCGAAACAGCGTATTTATGGCTTTGTTTTTTTATTGTTCTCCCTTTTTGAGTGATATTGAATATATTTTGGTAGTTGGGAAGTTCTAAACATCGCTCACTGCAAAAATTGAGGGGGACGATTGAATAGCTAATCTCCGGGATTTACGCCCATGGCGTGTACACAAAACATCACGAGCATTACGAATAATGTAGATGGATCTCAAGTTCTTATGGGATTATTGTCACAAAGGAAGTGTGGTGTCAGCCGTTCGGGAAAGAGGTTAATGGCCGGTAATTGTATCCTGTACATACATTATCACATAGTATCATCTGTTGTATTGCGACCACAGGGCACGGATCCGTCTATGAGCATTAAATTGCACAGCTGCATGCCGAGTCTTATGGCTGCGACTGAAACAGCATTAGCCTATTATACAGCCATGCATGTGGACGCTAATGGCGGCCGCGACTGCAGACAAAACGGTTGTTTCCGGTCCAGGCAGAGCTAAGCAGTTCGTTTGGTACAGTGCTTTGTATAGGTTCCGTTGGTTACTATCACACTTATCTTTTGACAAAAACCAGACCTCGTCACTTTCCCGAAAATGACGCACTTGAACATTTCCAAGGGCCAGTTTTCAAAGCGAGAAACTTGAAACATGGTATTCAGGTCACATTAATAAACAGATGGTTATGCAAATGAACCATCTTAGCATGTACTTTCAAGAAGGCCACAAACAGGTGTCCGGAAAATTAGCTAATGTTATTCTTCTAACATCGGTTGCCGTGAGTGCTGCATGGCGATCGACAAGTCACACCAAATCACATCTATTATGAGCTACTTTTCTGTTTCGGTCCTCAGGCACTACATCAGTTAAATTTTCTTGAAAGGTTTTATGCTGTCAGGATTCAAAAGAACATATTCAAAACGAAGACGAAAGCAAACTACAGCAAATTTCAGCACACGATGGCCATTGACAATCATTCGTCTGGTAGGTCATTGCGACATCAATTATCCCTGCACCCGTACCTCGCAGCCTGAGGAAATTCAATATGCACCGAGATTTATAGCCAATCAGAGTGAATGCTTCGACTCTAACACCCGCAATGTTTAATACACTATTGTCAGTTGGTAAGGGTTCAAGAACCAGAAGATGATTATTTGAGTCGTTTCATAGCAGGAAACGAGAGAGTAAATCTACAGGTTTTGATGGTTTTCGATCGTTTCACGGTTCTCAGTAACGCGTAACTGATATCAACGCTCTTTGGTATCACAACAGAGTAACGACTTTTAGGAAGCTCTAGGTCATTGGCTCCTTACGGGTTTAATTCCCCGAGCTCCAAAAGGACTTTATAAAGAAAACCATTTGTCAAACAGAAAATCATCCGATAAGTTGTTAGAGCTTGAAATTAGTTTGAGGAATTAAAAAGTAGAAAGGCTCTACAAACAGCTCAATGAGGTTTAATAGCGCCTGGTTTGCTATCACAATCCAGGCCAAGATCAAAACCTAGGCTAAGCCCTTTTACAATTCAGCCGAACCTCAGATGAGGATCGAGTCACACCTTGTCTGACGAACGCGCATCGAGCCTTTTAAGCCAGACAAAAGTTACAACCAGAGAAGACACTCCCACACGCCTGCCGACCGGCTGCAGCTGCTGGCTTGTTGGTCGGACGCGCGCGTTCACGGAATGAAAAGTGGAATGGACTAAATCTGAATGAACTCACACTAATCTTATCCTACCAGAGATGATTCAACAATTTCAGAAAGGCCAGCCCTGCAGATCAACAAAATTGGGCCCGATAAACACAGGCCCTGGACAACAAATTTCTGGGGAAAACACATGTATGTGTCATCGTTTCCTTGGACAGGGCTTATTCCAGATGGAAAATCAACATTATCAAAAGCAGTTAACATTACTTCCAGAGACCATTCTACATGAATTTTTGCATGTCAAGACTTTTGTAATCTGCAGTTTGCATGTATCCACTCTTTCTAAGAAGCAATCACACTGAACCTTTTGTATTAAGGCTCGATACGAAAGCCGGCGAAATAAATGACTAACTGCAATATTTCTCTCTTCTACAATCGTCTCAAAAAGCTTAAGGAAAGCAGATGGCAGTAGCGGAAAACGGAAGGGATGGCTTTTACCTAGGCGGCGGTTAGTTTTCGCAGAATAAGGCAAGTAAATTGACCCACAGTATTCTCGAAAACCTTCAGGCGTACATACCTCAAGCGACTGGAAAAGCAATCTAATCAATATTTTGTGACAGAAGTATTGTAAACAAAATGTACAAAATAACGATTTTCAAAGAAGCCAAGCTCTGCCATCTTCCAATGGCAGTCAAGTTAACCATACGCCTATTTTGCCAACAGCTCGGTTAATTTGGTTTGAGATATCTGCGAAAGCGTCAGACTGCGCGAGCAGACGTACTCTTGCAAAAGCCTTCAATTATACAAATTCCTGCTCATGAAAATGCCACCGTGAAGTTTTGCCCGTCATGCGGAAGGTCGGCCTACAAAGCACTGTGCATTGTTCATGGAGGGAGAAACCTCCATTGTCTACCTAAAGAATTTTACATACGTTTGCAGAGATACCTCATCAGAGAATATCTAGGACATCAGTTTCCTTTACTTGTAGCCTGGGTAAGTTCATAGAACAAGTATTGAAAAGTCAAAGAATTTCATTGGCAGGCGCGAAGCCACCACAAGTATTACCCACCCTGCGACTCACTTTCACACCAGAGCAAAAGAACTTCGAATTCGTCAAAACCTACAACAGAGCAATAAAATGTTGCACCTTAAATTCAATCTGTTAACAATAAGATCTCTCTCTGATTTAAAAGCTCACCTTTCCACCAAGCCTTGCACTGTTTAACGGGACAATACCTTCAGTTTACGGTCTGTCGCAGTGTTGGTAGCAACATGATTTCTCAACGCCTATGTCAGCTGCAGCGTCCTCGACCCTTGACGCCCTAGGATTTCCAATGTAAGCCTCGTGCACTTTGCTGTTTCCCTGTTGTTATTTCCTTCTCGGAAATGTAAAACGAAACCACTTTCAGTGGAATTCTGAACCTGAGGAAAAAACAATATCCTCCAGCAAGGCACGTTCGGTATATTCACAATTGGCCACTGCAGACTGGCACCCTGTGCCGCGGTAGTTTTAGTACTCAACTATTTCTTCTCTATCTATCAACATTTAGTGATTTAACGAATTTTAGCACTGCGGATAACATTTTTATATCTTATGAGTGTCCTTTGTCAAGACTCCAAGTCACAAGTTGTCTATTCCCATGTAAATAATTTGGTTGACAGTCTGCACACCACTTGAGCCGACAGCCTACTGCGGCCGTGACCTCGGAGCTAGCAAAACACTCAAGTCGGTTGTTCTAAAATGGAGTGGTAATTTCCATGGAATGGCTTGGAAAAGAAAAGGGAAAGGTATTCATCGCCAATAATTTAAACAATCATCCCCCCACGGATCGCGAGAAAAGACCACGATTCGGTCAATCATCCTCTTTCATATACTCTTTCAAGTTTAACGAACTTCTCAACTGGACTTCCCAATGGACGGTGCGGCATTTGAAGAATGTGACAGGCAATGCTGAGAAGTTATGAATGAGCCGAGGTCATTTAGGGTCAGCGCTTAATACTAAGTCGCTCACAAAGAAAAAAGACAGGAACATGTTTATGAATGGTATCCTGCCTGTTCCAATGCATCAATTCAAACAGCGTAAGTTAAACACATACATAGTGGAGGATACAAAAATGGCTCCACGTGGATTTGAAATAGGTACATAGTTTATTTCAAATAAAGACGATTTCATACATGTAATAAGATACTTACAAATAAACCAGCATTACTTTTGTTTCATTTTTAAAGCATAATGAGGTTAACGACATTTGAAGGGTGTCCTTCACCTTTTATTTTATTTTTAAAATATTTTCATGCAATAGCAGGGTATCTGGGATGCTGACCTTGGCACCTAGCAACAACTGATTGACATGTACGGTTTGATCAAAAACAGCATAAGAATAAGTTAGCATGCTCCCTTAACCCAGAGCAAAGAACGACATCCAAACGCTGCCGTCTGGGGGAGGGGGTGTGGCTTGGGGGATAAAAATCACAAAAAACCTCCCCCTCCCCCGTCAAATATTTCATCAGTGTCCCCCCCCCCGATATTTTTCCCACTGGAAAACAGTGATTTAACCCCTCCCGAAAAAAAATCTGGTGGCACCCATGCATCCAAAAATACAATGGCTCGCCTCAAAGGCCCCAAGTAGATCTGCTCTCAGGTAAGGAACCTGATCTGATGATGTGGGGCCATAAATATGTATAAATGCGATGTAAATTAAGCGTACCCATCCTACAAGTGATTGCTTCTCTAGGATTTTGTTTTAAACAGGATTGTAATATCCAGGCATCAATAACATGTCAATAAACAGACTCCCATGGTCTGGAGTCCCATTGTTTACGGAGTCTCGCCTCAACAAAAGGAACCCACCAACCTGGTTCCCATGGCCATGGGTACGATCTTGCCACGCCATGTTGGTCCCCACCACACCTTGTACGATCTAACCCCTGGTATTGTATAATTGAAATATCTCACCATTTGAGATATTTAAATAAGGACTTTTAATTTAGTCAGTGTTTTAAGCACAATGCACATTTATGCGTGTGTGACGTGCAAGAGAATACGTGAGCATGAGCGTACAGCTTTGACTATTCAGATTGACAATACATTCATATATATTCATCATGAATAGCCAGTCAGTCATTTTTGTATTCAATACGACCAGGGGCTAGTGAAGGAACATGCAAACAGCCCATGGAGTTGAGGTTGGGAACCCACTGACCTCGGATAGTGTAACCCAACTGTAATTTTAGGTTTGATTCAACAAGGTATTGGAATTTCCACTTAAAGCCCCAGGGCATCAAGGTTATGTTATTACAAGAAATACTCTTTAAACAGTATGGGCTAGTTTGAAAAAAATGATCAATGGTGCAGTAATCAAGTCCTGGACAAGCTATTGTTTTGTAGTAACGTCTTAACGATGTCCTGGATTGCGCCAACCGATGGTGATGTCGGGAAGCAGTCAACGAAACTCTTGCCCTCCTCCAAGCATCTGGTGAGTTGTGGGTCTAGGGGAATGCATCCTGAGAGAAAATCAAAGAGAACGTGAAACAAGACAATCAATTCACACCATGAAATTGTGTAAATCTTGTAAGATTCAAGGTCAAGTAACTGTTTCAATAAGATGTTTGGGCCGCTCAAAAAAGTTTTTAGATTGCACCACGATAGACAAAGTAGTGTTCAGTCAAGGAGATGAAAACTAGGAATAAAATTCAATATTCATTACAATTTAAAAAAAAAATAATGTAATGAAAAAAATCATTAGTCTGACAGGGTCTCTGGAAGATTTTAGACTATTTAGCAAAACTTGATTTTTTTTGGGGGGGGGCGATACAGTTTGAAACTGATCCTTAATCCTCCAGCAAACGAATACAAATGGCAGAGATACAAAGAGAGTTTCGGAGTGGTTCTCACCAAGACTGGCATCGCCAACATACAATAACCCGAAAACTTACCAAGAAATGGTATGGAAAATTCCCTGGCAAATAACTCGCCTCCTCCCTTTGAAAAGATGTTACTGCATTCCTGAGAAAAAAAAGAGAAACTTCAAAACTGACATATCACACTGAGAACAATACTCTTTCAAATTACATCCCTGCCACATTGATTGATGATAACTCTGGTGGGCTGGTTGACCAAATGGTTGGGGCTTATAACTCGGTCATAAGAGGGTCAGGGTCAATCCAACCTACTGGCAAGATGTGTCCTCGTCGTGTAAATGTTGCCCAACTGTCATGCTACAGTCCCATGACACGTTTGTGAACTCAAGGCAAATTCTGGCCGAAATTTTACCAGGAGCTCGTGCGACGTATGCAAATGTGTCTTAAGTACCAAAGCAGTGTGAATCCAAGTAAAAATTGTCGCAATTTTGTGTCTCCAACTAGTCGCGAGCTGTTGCAGCCCAGTGAGATACAGGCTTAAGAATTTGAGTAGACAGTCTGAAAATTCCTCAAAATCATTCATTACTTTCACCAGCACAGGGCGTCATCACTCATATGAAAGGATTAACCCTAACCGTCCTCAATCCTCTAACAGGAGAAGGATTGAGGACCTCCAACAGGTGAAGGATTGAGGACCTCCAACAGGTGAAGAATTGAGGACTGTTATGGTTAAGTAAATGCTGGAGAGCAGACTTACAGAGCAGTGCGGGCAGACATAGCCACTCATGTTTTCTATGACACCCAAGACTGGTATGCCAGTCTTCCGACAAAATGTGAGTTCTCTCCGGACGTCACCCACGGCAACTGCCTAAAACGGATCAAGATAACAATGCAATGCATAAACGTGGAAACATTCAAATACATCGATATTGGACATTCATCACCTTGTCAGTCCAACACGGGTGCTCAGGCTAGCAACAGGCAATTCAGAATAAAAACAAAAGAAACACAAAACAAGTATAAGCTGCGTAAGACTTTGTTTAGGCTTTTTCAAGTTCTAAAGGTAACACGGCAAATGAAATGCTTGGATCCAAGGAAAAGTGGCACACAATCAAGAGATGATGATCACACCACACTGGTCGAAAGTGTGTAAGTGGTTCCATAAAAAAAAATTGTTTAACTACTGAGAGATTGCTCAATGGAAAATAACAAGCGACTACAAAACTCCATCCTAGCTAGAGCCTTAAACTTGTTAAAGCTAACAGTGACCAGAGGGGTTTATCATACTTGGTTCTATTCCCACCTAAGACTTTGTCTCTGAAATCCACCCTGTTGGCTTACAGAGTTTGAAATGAACAAAAATAATTTGATTTTTGTTCCAATTTCAATATGTGGCTTACTACTGAAATAACAACTTTAAATTGAAGGAGTTAGGAATCAGGCAAAGGCAGAGATGGAGTTGAAGCCCAATATTGGAAAACTCTGTAAGTTACCTGGGGTGTTGTGACTAAGATGGCTCCATCTGGCCTGTACTGATGTAAACTCTCAACGACTGTGATGTGTTCATCTGATGTGCCTGAGAAAACATTCCAAGCAATGAAAATGGTGTTCAATATTTCATTTTGCAAAACTGCCATAATGATAAATTGGTTATCAATGTTTCATTTTCAAATTAATTTATGATTTCTCCTGATGACTTTGGAGATATTTGTCAGCTTACCAGGTGGAGTATCAATGATAAGGTAATCAAGATCGCTCCAGAAAACATCACTCAGGAATTGTTTAATCATTGCTGGAAAAAATAAACAATTTAAAATAAGAATGCATTTAAATTATGGCGTTAATGCATTATGCGCACATTGGAATAAGAGTTGTTCCATCTCTTTTAGAGTGGTTGCTCCAAAACTTGGACAATGACCCCAAAATGACCCCAAAACCTTTGTTTGACTCAGACCGGCGACAAAGAATACAACTTTGGCCCACTGTGACATCACGGGTATGACCACGAATAAAGTCTGCAAATTAAAAGGGTCAATTGTTTTCTCATTGGCTCACGTACCGTTCTTCTTGGGTCCTCTCCACACCACGGCATCATCACTGCCTCCTAACAAGAACCCAATGGACATTACTGCAAGGCGTTGCTCCATGTCTGCATATACCGGAACCCACCTGCGCAATACAAGACCACTGAAGGTTGAAATTAAGATCTGCGCAAGTGCCACGATGAGCTTACGTATTAACAAGAAAGAAATTCTGTTCTGCAGATTTTGATATGCCGAAGAAGATTTGTTTAACACCTCTCCAATCTTCGGAAAAAGTTTCATTTCTTTTTCTATTTACCACAGGTACATGTGATATTTAAAGACATTCACATTGGTCGTCACAAATAAGTAGCTCAAGAATCCTATTTATATGATGAAAAAGCAAAGAGTCCTTCATTCGTGAAAAGTGAACATGGGGACAAGAGCTTTTATCCAGGATATGAGTAGAAAACTGGTACCCACCCCCGTGAACACTGGTGCACATCCTTTCCCTGCACATTTAGCATGCGAGGAATACTTGGACCACACAGATCAATGTCAAGTACACCGACCTGTCAAAGGAAACAATTCAGGCAATTTTTTTATTTTAATCCAATCCTTTTCAATAGCAGCTTCCCCTTCAGATTTGCTGGCAAACATTGAAAATGTTAAAAACTGCAAAGCTGCCGTATTGTTAAGAACTGCTGGAACACAAATGTCAAGCTTCAGATATGTTCTCAAAAAGTAACCAGCCCAAATTCCCTTTGCATTTTTCACTCAGAACAATCCCATGCTGTCCACAATTAGACACTGTACAGCAACCAGAGGGGTAAATTCCTTTGGGAAAAGACCTCTGGGGATGAAAAGTCTGCCCAAGACCTCCAGCACCCAGGATCTACAGACAGCTTCACACAGTTGCTTCCCACAGAACATGCCATAAAGGTACACATGAACTCAACATACGCAACAAGGTCCCAGGGAAACAACCCACAGCTGTACATGAAAGCCTACTGCATATTTTTTTGCAGACAGCAGCTTCTTAATACAGCGCTGTTAAATTAAACAATAGTCACTATCCAGGAATATACCCAAAGTTTTCACCATCTGGCTACAGTGGTGACTACTGAACAACCAGAATCCTGGAACCCTGGTAGACCTATTTGGGGCTTTATAAAGAATGCTGTGGACGACCCCAATCACCTGACCTACCTTCAGCCCATTTTGTCTGAGTGCCAGAGCAATCTGGGTGGTCACCGTGCTCTTCCCAACTCCTCCTTTCCCGGACAAGACAAGAATTGTGTGTTTCACTGACTCCAGATTATGCCTCTCTGAAATCGAATATGTCAGCAATGAATCAAAAAACGAGGAGGGAGGAGGTTTTTTTTTTTTAAATACTTTGGTATGCATGCTGATCTGGACTGCTGCAACCATGGAACGAAATAGCCATGTTCACTTGAGACTCGTGCACAGAAGTGCACATTACATTGTGTGTACGTATGTATTCAGGTCGCATGTTGTACATGCATAAGGTTGTGTGGGCATTGTAGAAACTATCGGGGACGGCTAAGGACATCAGAAAAGACACCTTAAAAAAAAAACTACGCGGCAAGATTTTTTGAGGAGGGCGATGATGCTAAGCTATTTTTTTTTTTAATGTGGCCTAATGAGGGGCTACGAAAATGTGTCACCCAGAAGCGAATACTTCCTTTGGTAGGGACATGCATAATGAGTGAGGGAGCTGTTCATTTGGGATCTCAAATAGGGAATTGTGATTAAAATTTGTCCTTTTTGGTATCACCTGGCCCTGGCGCATGCGCACACCAGTTCTCAATTGCCTTTTGACACCACACACGCTCTGCAAGACGAATCCGAACTTACAAGGACAACCCGAGGAACTGACCGACCAAAGTGCCGTTTTTCGGGACAGTTCTCTTACTTAACCCCACTAGTGCTTTGCGGAGGCCAACAAAATACCTGGAGGACCTGTCGGAGTAAGCCCAGTCGAAGATAGGTTGAGTCGGCCGCCAAAAAACACTACATAAATTTATGGTGAAGCAAGCATTGATTCATTGTAATAAGGTACAGATGAGAATAAAGACTTAACAAAAATATGAATTCTAACTTCTAGGTAAAAATCCACACTCATTTTTGTGTACAAATAATCAGTTTGCTCTACATTACACAAGTACAAAAAATATGTTAAAATATCTAAAAACATCCCCGCTTCAAATCAAGTTTTCTTGCTTTGCAGATACCGATGGAATCCAAACTTTGGAAAGAGTTCCATATATGTATGCAGACAATACTAAGTTTCAGGCCGATATATATCTTTCAACCGAATGCAATGACTGCCATGGCCGCTGATGGCCAGAAAAGAATACTTATGCCCTACGTACTTACCCTCGGTGTTTCCACTTGCATTTCCTATGGAGGCTTCCATCTTGAATAGCTCCAATCAAACCAAGTGAGGGCGCTAGGTAAGTTAAATAAACTTTTTTATCAAATGAGGGCGCTACATTACTTTAACCAGCTACAGCATGCGCACACGTACACAAACACGATAAACAAAATGCTCGAATCTCTGGTTTCCTTTCCTTACTCATAGACGTTCCCGGATCCCAGGTGCCCGATCGGTGAGTCCATTCTGAGCCAGGCAACACAATTACAGCGAGATTCTAGTTGTGAATCTCTATTTTCGCCAATTACATTTGATTCGGGTTTTTCAGCACATTTCTTGGACTGGAACTCCGAGTGGGAAGAGAGTGAGCGCGAACCGAGGTAGGCCTAGGGCCTCTACTCTAGTAGTACTTTTTGTAGTAGCCTAGGCCTAACCCGTAAACAGGGCTCGACAAATACTCCTCTGTCGTATACTGGGCCTGGGCCCTGTCGAGTCCCAATTCATAGGGATTTCTTTTGAAAAGATTTATCCGGGATATCCGGGGGCATAACTAAACTTCAGTACTTACAAATTTCGATCAGATACGTGAGAAAACCTGTCGATCTACGTACTCATGGAAAATCATGGCCGTTTTGTGTCGCAGCTAATACGCAACACCCTTGGCTGGTTCCCTGTCCAGTCACACACGGCTTGCGGCAAATTATTGGTAGCGTGGATTGCTCTCTGTGACGTGACACGAAAGTGACGAAACAGCTGTCAGTTTTGTCCAAGTGGGACAAAATTCGTCCGGAGTGGGAAAACGGCAAAAAAGGCAACATTTCTTCCTCCGAACGAGAAAACGGTGAGTTTTCTGCAATAAGCCACCTAGCGGAATGTTTTCCTTGTAAGTAGTAAATGTACCGGTGCGATTTCAGCTCATAAAATCAAGTGGATGTTTAGGCATGCCATCGGATATCCCGTAAAAAACTTTTCGAACAAAATCCCTATGAATCGGGACAGGGCCCAGTGTACGACGGAAGAGTATTCGTCGGGCCCTGTTTACGGGTCTAGGCTTCTAGAGGCAGGTACAGGTTAACACTAGGGACGAAGGGCTGACTATGCATCATGCTGACTGCCTGAGCAGAAATACATGTACATGTAGTCTGAAAGTGCTTATATTTGTAGCTTAGCAAGCAAAGCCAAGGCTGAATACTAACCAGCTAACATAACTAACGTGCTAAGGCATTGAAGAGCTTGGGCCTGACCAGTACAGTAGGCCTAGTCTAGTCCGAGTAACTTGGATCCTACAAATCACATTTTTTAACATTTGGATATGGTTGGGTAATTAGTAGGGTCTGAGTACATGTACCTTTCATATATACTTTTACTTCAATTAATTAATTTTACTCAATATGGCTCGTGACCCGAGTCAAAATCCTCCAAATTCACCTCTAAAACTGTCCTTAAAATGCCTAATGGGCCTATCTATGGATTAAGTGAGAATTGGAGATTTCAATAATGATTATATGGTATATTCACATGGGGGGAAAAAAAGAGAAATTTCCCCTTTAAATCAGAAACGCTCTTGTCAACGAGCTCGAAGACACCATCTTTCCTCCAATAGCGATTCGAACTGTACGTTTATGTCCTTTTGACGACGTCACGGCGGGCTGGCCTCGTGGACCATTCACAGAAAGCATTCTGTGTTGGCACAGGCACTCCAACGACTGTTTCTTGAGCAGCGTATCGTTCAGTGTACAGTTTCGATATGGTCACAGCCCCACATGTCTGGCTGTGGATGGCTGTCTTGTGATATTTGTCTCTTTTCTGTCGCCATCACAGCCCTACTTCAAGGCATGACTTTAATGCCTGAAATCCAAACTGCAGGATTATCACAAACTTCAAATCCTAATATCTGGCCCTAGTCTAGGGCTAGGTAGATGTGTGCACTTGCCTGTTCTTTGCACAATCAGTCAATTTTATTGCACGGTTTGCCGATAATTCCACCATCAGCCAATTGCCTTTTCTTACAAATTCACAGAAGTAAAATTGGAGATCAACCAGTCATGGAGGTTGATCGGGGGGAGGGGTGTGCAGATCAACCATTCAAACCCAACATGCATGTGTTGGGGGCAATCAGTCTGTCTATATGATCACTTGGTCATGCTGGCTGTTGGTCAGTCCTGTATGAAATCTCAGACGCAGTGACTGCAGAATATCCGCCCCCCTTGGAAATGCTCCCACAAAATCTCTGTCTGTTCAGTCGAAGATGCTCATGCGATCTGTTGGAAATGAAAAAAAGACTTTAGTATCAAGCTGAGGATATTTTGAATAATTCAATATGCCTTTATTTTGTACCGGCACGGTACAGTGGAACGTGTGCAGTGGGTGTTATGGGGGGGGGCTTAAAAAATCTGAAAAGAATTCCAAATAATGACATCAGTCACATCATTCACTTTTGCCTGCAGAGACGCATCAGCCATCAGAAAGGGCTTGTAAAGGGTGTCTAGTAATGTCCAGACATGTAATTCTGTCCTGGAATTCGGTTGTGAGAAATCTTCATTTGGTGCCATGCTTGCATTGTCAATGTGATTTTGTATTCATGAGATGGAATTCAGACCTAGTGCAGTTCTGGACATTTTACATAAAGGAATTTTCTTGAAAGCTTAAGTTCAGGACCCATGTGTGAGCGTGGTGGTCCTGAAGTTATACGACATCTTCATTGGCATCGGTCTAGGTTGTTAGGATTACAATTTTTGAACAACATACCCGATGCAATGTACTGGTAAACGGAAACAAAAACAAAAGGAAAAAAAAGTCTCCCTACTTTTGGTTTGGATGGCAAATAGGCAGTATTCAGTATCCCATATTCTTACTACACCAGCAATGAAACATACCGTCTCTACATGTACATGTATGCACTAGTAGGGATTCCATCAGTCGCTGCATACAGTGTTTGTATTTTTATTCTCAGCACTACGTCATGAATTTGATCTGACTTCAAAACTGGAAATTGGTCTGCAACCACCCACAAAGGCCTGTAGACCTCTACTTTGTTTCATCTGAGAGCTCGATCAGCTGATAACTGTATCTTTGTTCTGTTTGTGCAAAATGTTGGGAATTCACCCGTCTTGGTTCGTTGAATTGAATGTACATTTTATGCAAGTACACATCAGTCTGCAGGAATTGGTTACATTGCATGTGACTGATGTTATACATGCACATGTACGTGGTGATGAGACATGCACATGAACAGTACGGTACATTGGCTTTGGACATTTCAACTTTCAACAGCTTTGTTATTTCAGTGAGAGGTACAGTGCAATATACATACATGTACTGGTGCAAACTTGTGCATCCAATTCCAAGTATATTCATATACATGTACATGCATCTGCACAGTGGATGCCTTCATGTTTCCGTTCTCCTTCGCTTTGCTCATCCACATGGAAAGGTGTTTGATTCTTGTGAATGAACACTGAGTGAATGGAATAACACAGAAAGCAAGGAACTGATGCCAGGTTTTATTAGGCAGCATGGGAGAGGGAGTGTCACAGCAGACGGTGCCTCGACCGTCTGCTTGTAGTACAATAAAAGTTGAATACAAATTGGTAAAACAAATTGTTGTAGAACTTTTATTTCAAATATAAAATGAACATGGCGTCAAACACCAATAACACAAAGATAAGTAATCCGAAGTCTACCAGATAGTGTAAATTCTGAACAAAATGGCCTATTTGGTACAGCTATTGAAATATCACAAACATTGAATGCATCACTCATGAATAAATTATCCAAACTCCAACTAAAATAAACTACATGTATGTACCATAGAGTGATCTTCCAACCAAGGGCCAAATAGTAATAATGATTGATACAAAATTCATGCTGTTGGTATCATGATCTAAAACATATGCAGTATTAGTGACTTCAATTTGGTACAGATTGCACAATGATCCTGAAATGTTACAAACATGCAGTATTGCATTGATAAGGTATGAAATTACATAATATTGCAAGAACAAAATATTATACAGACTATTTCGATGAAATAATCTGAAAAAAATTTAATATTGAATCAGAAGCTGCTGCAGATTTGTAAACGCACAGGAAGAATTGTACCGGTAGACTTATACTTGATTTTGATATATCTGCGTGCAGGACCCACACAGCACACTGACGCCGATAATAACTTCACTCACAATTAATTCTTTCCATTGAGGCCATTGCATTAAATTGACATTATATTACTTCATTAACCTCACTGAAAGCTACAAAATACTACTTGCATGTACAGAGTATCGTACAATGCTGTGACTTGTATGAGGACATGACCTTATTGTTCTCTATTGTTCTCGCGTAACAATGGAAGTGCCCTAGCCAGTTAACACATCATTGTTTGTTTTCTGAAAGAAAGATGCTTTTGTGATAATTATGTTTTTCTTAAAACACATTGTATCAGATGCATTCTTGATTACTTGCACTCTCGTCAGATGTCCAAATGAAAACTTACAATTGGAAATTGTGTGCCTACATGTCACAAGAAAAATAATGTTCATGCTGTTCTGACAAAATTCCATTCCTTAGGCATGAGATCTTACACATTCAAAATCATGTCTAAAAATCCACAGCCAATTGGTTGATTGAATTCCGTTGATCCACACTACTGTGTTAAATACACACCATACATGTACATGTACTGGTAGTTTTTTTGTCAAGATCTGATCTCGGCAACTTTAGGAGGTTGTGTACATGTACGAATAAGAGTTTTGCCCCCTGTTTACCTGCATCTGTCAAGAGCTTCATTTTTATAACTTGCTGCTGTTTGGACTGAAGAAATTGTAGCGAACGGTTGAGTTGACTCCATGTAGTGGTCGCTGATTGTTCAGAATGAATGAGGTACGGTACATGCACAGGTTACAGGGTAGAACAGAATGCCACAAAGATGCAGGCCATCTTGAAATACATGTATGAGGGTTGTCACTGAAACAATGGTGTGTAAGATGTGTGGGATCCATACATGTATACGCAGGTTCTCCATGCATTATTACAATGAAAAGGAAAAAAAACAAGACAAGAAGGCGAGCAAAAACCTCTGCAAAAAGAGCGTTTAAACAACAAATAAAGTCTGTAAACAAGACCCTAAAGAAGAGATGAAAAGTCATATGAAGGACACTAAATCTCTGCTGCACAGTAACGGCACAGAAAGACCGAGATGACCTAGAGATACAAGTACCATTTGGGTCTTGAAAAAAGGGTGGATGGGGGCTCTGAAGATGATGAAGTAATCTATGATTTATCGGAAGAAGTACATGCAATAGAAATGCAAGAGCCCAGAGCGATGTACTTGTACATGCAGAAGCACTCAGCGCAAGTGAAGACCTGGAACTGTTTTCCGTTT